CAGCGGTTGGACTCAAACAGTCCAGCCCAGCTCTCTCCTGGGTGGAAGGTCAGACCATCAGCAATCTGTCCGGGGGCTACCTGCCAATCTTGAACTTGAGGCTGCATCTCGGCTTTCTTACCAGAGTCAGCTGTTGTTTCAGGCCAGGTGGTGCCAGGTGGATATTGTATTTCCCTCCGGGGACACTCTTTCTCAGAGCCCAATGCCATCCCCCGCAGTGTGATTCCTGTGTAGTGGCCCAGGGAACAGCGAGCTCCCGGCTGGCAGGCAGAAGCTCTGAGTCAGGCCTGGCTAGCTCCGCGAGGGTCACCTGCCCGGCAGCAGGGCTTGGGTTCACTGCCCTCCAGCCACGTGTCCGGGCGGAACAGGCCAGACTCTCCAGTAACTCAGGCAGCACCCTCTGCCGGGGTGTCTTCAGGGCATTTAGAAGGGAGGATCCAGTTGCACCTCCTGCTTCCATTCCGGACGGTCTTGGCATCGGAACCCCCGGTCCCAGCCTCGCCTCCAGCACACCTTCCTTGGGGCCTGTCTAGGAAACCAGCAGGCCAGCTCTGCAAAGGGTGGGGTGGAGGGATAGGCCTTCTCCAAAGAAAGAACCACAGGCATCAGAAAGTAACACCCTGCCCATGGCCGAGATCCCCCCATTTCTCAGAGATCTAGCCCAAGTCCCCCACAGTACAGGAAAGAAAACAGAGGCCCAGCCAACACCGGTTTGGCTCAGTGGATAGAGCTTTGGCCTGCGGACTGAAGGGTCCCAGGTTCAATTCTGGCCAAGAGCATGTACCTTGGTTGTGGGCACATCCCCAGTAGGGAGTGTGCAGAAGGCAGCTGGTTGATGTTTCTCTCTCATCGATGTTTATATCTCTCCATCCCTCTCCCTTCCTCTCTGTAAAAAATAAAAATTTAAAAAATCAATAAAATATATTAAAAGAAAGAAAGAAAGAAAGAGAGGAAGGAAGGAAGGAAGGAAGGAAGGAAGGAAGGAAGGAAGGAAGGAAGGAAGGAAGGAAGAAAGAAAGAAAGAAAGGAAGGAAGGAAGAAAGAAAGAAAGAAAGAAAGAAAGAAAGAAAGAAAGAAAGAAAGAAAGAAAGAAAGAAAGGAAGGAAGGAAGGAAGGAAGGAAGAAAGAAAGAAAGAAAGAAAAAGAAAAGAGAGGCCCAGAGATGGAAAGGAGCTTGTCTGGGGTCACACAGCACTTAGAGCCAGGCTGAAACCTGGTCCTGCTGAAATCAGCCATTCTCAGCCCACAGGTGCGTGCAGAGCGTGGAGGTGACAGACCTCACTCAGGCCCCCGAAACGCTATGAGGGAAACATCTCTAGGAGCCACCCATGCCCTGGCAGCATCAAGTACAGTCAGTCATTGCCTCTTACAGCCTCCGGCATCGCACAAAGCATGTAGACACAGGGCCTGTTTTCATATGTTCAGTATTCCTGTAAGTGCAATTATTATTACCATTTCCGTGAAAATTAACCCAAAGGCCCCCACTGGGCTCTCTCTAGCCATTCCTTGTCTCCTGTCCCCTCACTGTTGAGGCCAGGCCATCTCTAGAGCCTGCCCGAGATAGGAGGGAAGGACAGCAGACCTTCAGGAGCACAAGATGGACTCTCCAATGAACACCTTCGGAAATCCCTCTCCAGCCCCTGGAGGGCACCATCTGGGGGTGGCCAGCACTCCCCGCAGGAGGCTCACCCTGAGACCAGCACAGGGCCCCGTGAGCTCACCTGAGCCCCAGCCTCCTGGAGAGCGCATGTTGGGAAGAAGCTCGGCCCACAGTAACCCCAGCTCCCCTATTTTTGTCCCATCACACAGGCCAGGGCTGTTTCCTGCCTCTCCCCTCCCCGCTCTCCCCCCCCCCTTTCCTCTTCCTGCTCTCCACCCACAGTCAGCTGCCTGCCCATCTGAGGAAGCCGCAATTAGAGCCTCACAGGCCCTCCTGCCAGCCCGGCAATGCCCTGTCGTGGCTGTGCCCTCGCTGTCAGCTGTCACACAGACCCAGCCAGGAGCATATTTGGAGAGGGTGGCCCAGAGCCGCAGGGCTGAGCTTCAGGTTCCTGGGAAAGCCATGGCGGAGCTGGAGGGCACTGGAGCCAGGCACCTGAGGAAGGGGAACACGTCACTGTGCCATGTCCCTGGGAGGATGTCCCAGTGTCAGGAGCAGAGAGAGCAGGGTCATTCTGCCAGGCTCCGCGGGACAGCGTGGGAGGGTAGTCACCAGGGGATCATTTTGTTCAAAACAAGAAAAAACTGTCCCTCTCTCCCAAGGTGGTCAGGGTACTTCAGGTCAAAGGGCACACACATAATACTTTGAGTCAGGAAAGGCCCCTCCTACCAGGGAGCAAGGTACTCAGTAGTCATCTTCTCCAAAATGGGTCTGGTGAGCTGTATCACATAGACTTGCTTGGAATTCCTTATAGCACATCCAAAGACGAACTGGAAATTCTCCAGGAGGAGAGGCTCAGGGTCCCATGTGCCCGTCTCAGCCTCTCACACAGAGGCTGTGACACCAGCCAGGACAGCACAAAGAGCAGAGCCTACTAAGGCAGGGGGCACTGAGAAAGCAGCCCTGGTCAGGAGCCAGACCTTTCTGGGATCGAGTCCCAGCTCTGCTTCTTCCATGTTGACCTCTAGCAAGACATTAGGCCTCTCTGATCGAGTCCCCGGTTTTTTACCTGTAAAATGGAGCTGTAAACCCGGCCCTACCTCCGTCATAGGGCTGGATAAGGATCAAGTGAGAAAGAAGAGCAACACTTTGGAGGCTGTAGGTTACATATACTCAAAGAAATGATGTGTTGGGGATTTCTGGCTATAATTATTTTTTAATATATTTTATTGATTTTTTACAGAGAGGAAGGGAGAGAGATAGAGAGTTAGAAACATCGATGAGAGAGAAACATTAATGAGAGAGAAACATCGACCAGCTGCCTCCTGCACAACTCCCACCGGGGATGTGCCCACAACCAATGAGACTGGAATCGAACCTAGGACCTTTCCGTCCACAGACCGATGCTCTATCCACTGAGCCAAACCGGTTTTGGCTCTGGCTATAATTATTTTTATTCCAGGAAGAACATGGGTGACACACAATCGCATTCAATAATTTATGTCCATGTAACAAACTCTCCCTGGGTACCTATTGTGCTGGGTTCTAGAATTGAAAACATAAATAAGACAAAACCCCATGTCCTCCAAGAGAAGCTAACTGGGAAGACAGACTGTAAATTCTTCACCACAGCAGAATGTGGTGCACAGAGTGGACACAAAGTGACAGTGAAAGCACAGAGGAGAGGAACTCCACCGGCGCTGAGGGAGGCAGGCATGAGGGCTGTGGAGGAGGGAGTATTAGAATAGAGTCTTACAAACTGGGGACGAACATTTTCACATCTAATAACAGGCCCCCAAGCTATATGAGGCAAAAACTGACAGACCGAAGAAAGAGACAATCTATATAATAAAAGGCTAATATGCTAATTGACAAAATGTTTGAACGACTGGTCACTATGAAGTGCACTGACCACCAGAGGGCAGGTACTCAATGCAGGTGCTGGCCCCTGGTTGTCAATGCGCTCCCACAGGGTTAGCACTGTTGAGCCAGAAACTGGGCTCATGGCTGATGAGCACAGCAGTGGTGGTGGGAGTTTCTCCTGCCTCCACAGCAGCACTAAGAAGGTCCAGCTGATGGTTTAGACCTGCTCTCAGACATCCCCCGAGGGCTCAAGGACTGCAAGAGGGCATAGGCCAGGCAGAGGGACCCCCTGAGTGCACGAATTTCATGCACCAGGTCTCTAGTTACATAATAATAGCTGGAGACATCAACACCCCACTCTCAGTAATGAATGAAACAGCCAGAAAGAAGATCAGTAAAGAATTAAAGGACTTGAGAAGCATCATAAACCAACTGGAGATAATATGGCACAAACATAATATAGAACACTCTACCCAACAGCAACAGCACATACATTCTTTTTTAAAATATATTTTTATTGTTTTCAGAGAGGAAGGGAGAAGGAGAGAGAGAGATAGAAACATCAATGATGAGAGAGAATCATTGATCGGCTGCCCTTAGCATGTCCCACACCAGGGATCGAGCCTGCAACCCGGGCATGTGCCCTGACCGGGAATTAAACCAAGACCTCCTGGTTCATAGGTCAATGTTCAACCACTGAGCATTGCCGGCCAGGCACATATACAGTCTTATCAATTATACATGGGACATTCTCCAGGACGGACTACATGTTAGGCCACAGATGAAGTCACAATAGCCAAAAGATGGAATCAACCTAAGCAATCATGGACAGGTGAAAGAATAAACAAAACATGGTATATGTACAATGGAATATCATGCAGACCTTAGAAGGAAGGAAGTTCTGACACATGCTACAACATAGATGAAAGGCCAGTCACAAAAGGACCAATTCTATCTGATTCCACCCCCAGACACATCCAGAGAAGCCAGATTCATAGAGACAGGAAGTAGAATGGTGGCTGCAAGGTACTAGGACGCGGAGAGTGGGGATGGGCAGTTAGTGTGTAATGGGTTTGGTTTTGGTTAGGGATAATGAAAATGTTCTGGAGATGGATGGTGGCAATGGTAGCACAACAATGCGAATGTACTTAATGTCACTGAACTGTACACTAAAAAAGAGTTAAAATGTTTGATTTTTTGTTCTGTGTATTTTACCACAATTTTTAAAAATAAATAGTATTTTGGGGCGGGACTTGGCGGCCTCGGTGGCAATAGTGGACACGTCGAGCCGGTCGCTAGTGGAGAGGGTTGATGAAGAGTCGTGAGGGGTGATGAGTTAGGGTCCTGAAAGGGAGGCACCGGTGACAAGACTCAATCTAGAAAGACTCTTCTGCTGATTCTCAACTTTCCCTGGAAAAATGAGCCATTCCCACCACAGGGGGATGAGCTCTATGGGCCACACCATACCGTCTTCTCACCATGACACGGTCACTTCAGCCTCCCACCTCCATGAGGCGGAGATGGCAATGTGACGATCATGCACATGACCTTCTGCGTTGGCTTTAAGAATGTGGAACTGTTGTTTCCTGGCGTGGTGATCAACACAGCTGGAGAAATGGCTGGAGCTTTTGTGGGAGTGTTTTTACTGGCAATGTCCTATGAAGGACTCAAGACAGCCCGGGAGGGCCTGCCACGCACGTCACAACTCAGCATTTGCTACAATCTCATGCCTGTTCCAGGACCAAATGGGACCATTCTTATGGACACACACAGAACTGCTGGGCAGCAGATGCTGAGCTTCCCTCGCCTCCTGCAAACAGTGCTGCATATCAACCAGGTGGTCCTCAGCTACCTCCTGGTGCTCCTCCTCATGGCCTGCAATGGGTACCTCTGCGTTGCTATAGCATAGGGGTGTCGAACTCAATCAGAGAAGGGGCCAAAATCTAAAATCCAGCCTAAATCGCGGGCCGAATGGTTTACTGAACAGTCATAAACTGTCATTGTGATGGAAACGCAGCGGAGTGCAGTGATGACAGCGCGGTGCGGGCCACATTGCAAGGCCTGGCGGGACGGATTTGGCCCGCGGGCCTTGTGTTTGACACATGTGCTGAGGAGCAGGCACAGAGACTTTCCCTTCAGCTGGAAGGAGTCAGTGGCAGTGGACATCACAGAGCATTGCCATTAACGTCAAACTCCATGGTGTGGCCTTGCCGATTGCAGTGGAAGCAGTTCAAGACTGGAAGACATTATTCCTACTCGAATCTCCCCTTCTTGCTCCTTAACTCCTTATACACACACCTTCTCAACAGAGAGTTAGCTTCCAGTCTGTGAGCTAAAATAGTAACCCCTGACTGTTCTTCCTGCGCTGAAATTCCCATTTCTCTTGAGGTGAAACCACCCAGGAGATGTCTTCTCCTCTGCCATCATCTTAGGTCCAAGATACATGTTCTTGTCTAGTCCAGGTAGCTGTCTCTTCAGTGACTTGGTCACCTGCTTTCTTTTTTAGTTTTCTGTTTTTATTTTTAGCAGACAATCTGAATTTGGTGGGGTTTTCCTGGGTCAGTGGTGGAAAAGGATTGGCTTCAGCTGGGATCCATGGCAGCTGAGGGAAATTCTTGCCCAACTAAATCCAGAACCCAAACTTAACACTAAAACATAAGTTCCAGTCTTTGGACTCCATGAGAGGGAAACACAGGGTGCCTTTCCCTGAGTAGTGCACAGAGGGTGTTTGAGACTCTGAGTCTGGACCTTACGAAAGTGTGCATTTTGGGGTGGCTGACTCATCTATGGTTCCCACTCAACACTTTGATTAGAAGGAACTTGCCAATAAAAAATAAAAAAAAGACATGACAATCAAGTTGAGAAAACAAACGTAAGTATTTTAAAATAAAACCATTGACATTTTTAAAAATAACAAAAAATAAATAAATAGTTTTTTAGAATTAAAGAATGAGGAGGGAGCATTCCAAATAGTCCAAGTGGGGGAGAAAAGTCTAGAAAAAAAATTGGTTGTGCAAATTTTGCACTGAGGTACAAAAGCAACCGAATTAGCAAGGTGCCGCCAACATGTAAGACACACAGAGGCATGGGGGCGGGGGCTGTACAAGGCCCCCAAATGTCCTGCTCAGGGGTGTGCAACCCGCTCTGTGGGCTCTGGGGAATGGCAGGATCGCAGTGTAGCTCAGAAACAATGAAACCAGGAGAAGTCCGGGCAGGACGGACAGAACGGACAGACAGAGGGGGAAGCTATGTAGCGAGCAACACCTGATCCAGACAGGTGTTAAAAGGGAAACTGCTTTCCACACCACCCCAGGGCTGCGGTGAGAGTGACTCAAGCCATTAGCCTCACGGGGCCACCAGCTGAAGGCGGACGGGATTCCCCTGAAACTGAAACTGGGACCCGATGCGTCGGTGGGGACCCTGAGCGAGCAGCAACCCTGCACCGTGCCGCCTGTGGGGGTGACACTAAGCCCTGATGAAGGGCTTGTCTCCCTGCAGTCACACTCTGTGGTTTCCACTAACTCACAGGAAGGCAAGTTCAACTGCTCAGTGTGCAAATGGGCATGAGGAGTGGGCGGAGGCCTAGGTGATGTCTTTGAATCAAGTCAGTGTGGGAAATCCCAACTCTGGCATATATAAATGGTGACCTTGGGCTGCCCTGTGTCTATACGGGTCTCAGGTTGCCAATCTACAAAACGAAGGAGTTAGACCCCTAACTCCATCGGTATGCCCCTCCCACGAGGAAGGGCAGGACATTGCCAGACACGGTCAGTAATCAGACGGCCTAGCAGGCACACAGACGCCCACGGATGGAGCACCATGTGCTAAGCTCTTCCCCTTGAGTCGGTTTGGTCCATGACTAGTCTCCCTCTGCCAGCTGTAGGTGAGTGTCCCCTCATGATTTCCCTTCTCTCTTTCCCTCTCTCTAGTTCCCTTGTGTTTCTCCCCCATAAGTTTTCTTCCTCTTACAAGTGGGGAGCTTGGAATCCTATGGATGGAAGGAGAAAAATAAAGGCAAGTCCTCCCCACCTACCCCCCCCCCCAAAAAAAAGCTATGGAATATTCTATGTGTGAAATCAGCTGCCTCTTTGCTAAAACCGGCCTGTCATTCCACTCAAAGCACCACTTGGTCTTTCCAAAGGAAGCAAGCCAAGTGAAATGCACATATATAGATGTCCTCGAGGCAGGGTTTGCTGCAAACCGGATTGTCAAAAGTCAATTTGCCAGATGATCAATTCGCTGCCTTGCTGAGAAAGTTCCTCACGTGACATTGTAGTTTTGCCATCACCATTGCCCTCAGGGGTGGGCTAGCCCCGAGGAACAAAGGGGCTCCCCTGTCACCAGCTGACTTCCAGGATTGCCCCGGGGAGGGGGGTCACCTACAGTCCAGCCAGCTTGGAGGTGGACATCGCCGCCACTTACACTCCGTGGCCTGGCTCTGAGTCTCGTGTCCACCTACAACGGGGCCTGGGAATGCAGTCTCTGCACAGGCAGCCTCTCCCCAGTGGCAGCTCTGGGGAGTGACAAGCCCTGCAGAGGAAGCACTTATCTTCAGTGGGCAGCTAGCCATCGCTGGCACGGATGGGCCTCAGACACCACACTCTTCTCAAATGCTCCACCACACAGAGCCGAACGTGAGCCTTTTCTTATTATACACGGCTGCCTCCTCTATTTTGGCAAACTTACAGTGTTCCTGCCCCAGCCCCTCCCCCTGCCCCTGCCCCTGCCCATGTCCCTGCCCCAGCCCCTCCCCCTGCCCCTGCCCCCACCCCAGCTGTGGACCACACAAACGAGTGGGCTTTTCCTTAAACACAGCTCCCACATGGCCTTATGCTCTGCCCCAGCTTTCACGTCTTCGTCTACATGGCCACAGCCTGTGTTTCCACCCCAGCCCTGGTCTGCCCTGGCATCTCCCCCGGCCCTGCCCTTTCACCGATGGACTTCCCCTTCACCACAGGCTACTGCTTTCTCTCTTTTTAAAGAGCTGTGTCCATCCACCGAGGAAGAGAAGGCCTATGGAGCTCTAGGAAACAAGTCTGGAGGCAGAAAGCTTAACCTAAGCCACCACGGGAATGCACAGAGGCCCCATTTTGAGTTCTCTTTGGTACAAAAGGAAGAGGGAGCCCTTGCATCTTGAAACTGGGAAAGCTAGCCTGGCCGCTCTGTGCCCTCACCACAGAAACCTCCCTAACTAGACCACGTAAATTTGAAACCAAAAGAAGAATGTGGGGACTTCTGCTTCTAGTCATGATAGGGATAATAGGGACTGACTTGCTCTCCAAGTCTGAGACCACAACAACAGAAGCAGAAAGGAAGGGAGGGCAGATGCAGTTGTCAATATTTCTGATTTGCACATGTGGCTATTCATGGGATTCACTTTCTGTGAGCACAGGGCGGGGGTCAGGGAACTGGCAGGAAGGGAGGGCCACACTGCAGTGTATTCATACAGTCAAATACTCCTCAGCTATCCAAATGGACAAGCCATCGCCACATGGCCCAGCACAGCTGATCTCACACACACAACAGTAAAACATGCTGGCCACAGAAGACATACAAGATGATTTCATTCCTATAAAATTCACAAACAGGTGACTTAACTCCATCATACTAGGTCATAAAACAAAAAGAAAGGCAAGAAAGTGATGCTCCCCAACGTGAGAACAGTGCTGACCCGGCATGGGGACTGAAGGGGCGTGGCCAGGGAGGGGACCCTAGGAGATTACAGGTGTTTGCAAGGCTCCAGTTCTGGACCTGGGTGGTGGTTATACTGGTTTGTTTTATAATTATCCATTCAAATGTGTAATTTTTAAAACTTTCCTCTTTGTATAACTCATATTACTTAAAAAAATAGAAGAGCCGAAACTGGTTTGCCTCAGTGGATAGAGCATCGGCCTGTGGACTGAAAGGTCCCGGTTCAGTTCCAGTCAGGGGCATGTACCTTGGTTGCAGGCATATCCCCAGTGTGGGGGTGTGCAGGAGGCAGCTGATCGATGTTTCTCTCTCATAGATGTTTCTAACTCTCTATCCCTCTCTCTTCCTCTCTGTAAAAAAAATCAATAAAATATTTTTTTTAAGTAAGAGAAAAGCTAAAGAAAATATGATTAAATATTAACTGTTTTCAATCCTGGCAAGTCTATGTTACATCATTAATCACATTTCATAGTAATTTGTTTGGGTTTTTTTTTCTTTTCCAAATTATTATTTATTATGATAATAAATCAGGAATGAAAGAAGTCAGGCAAAAAGAGAGAACATGCATGACATTTGCAATTTTCTATGCCATTCGTATAAATTTCGAGAAACTGCAGATCAATATTTTGCATTAATTAAACAGAAAGCAGATCAGTGATTCCTGGGGAGCAGAGGCAGGGAGGGATCCGAGGGAGTGAGCAGGAATTAACTTTTTGGGGGTGACAGATATGTATGTTCATTATGTGGTTGGTTTCGCATCTGTATAGTTATGTCAAAATGTATCAATTTATACAGCTTTAAATGTGGAAGTTTATTGTATGTCAAATATACATCAATAAAGCCATTTTTAAAAAAATAAACTTTGTTGTGCCTTTCCATGCTTCACATAGTCATCAATATACATATACATTGTTTTAAAATAAGGGAGCTGTTTTTAAAGTCAGAGGGACCTGGGTAAAGAACGGTGATGCTGGCTCCCAGAGGGCTGTATGCCTTTCGGTCAGTCATGGCATCCAATTATGTCAACGTAATTGCGTTCTACCTTTGATGTTAAAAGAGCCTCCACTATTCTCCCTCCCTCCTTTCCTCTCTCTCCCCCACCCCACCTTCCTTCTTCTCACTCTATTTCTCCTCTCTCTCTCTCTCTCTCTCTCTGTCTTTGCCCCCTCCTCCCTCCTTTTCTCTCTCAGCTTTAGGAGACGTGACAGCACTCATAAT